ATCATATGTATTGGTCTTTTAAGGATGTTTTATTCTATGGTTTTATATATATATATATATATATACAAGAAGTGTTCAGAAGTTTGCAAGCAGAGAACTTCTGTTATAAATTTTTAATTTCACATAACAAACGTGTTGAGTGAAGATCAGCATTGTCTTCGAGTGAAACAAAAAATTATGAGAGGTAGTTCAATCTTTTAGAAACTCTTAACAACAAAAATTATATTATTATCATATATTGTACACAAATACTAATGTTCTTTTTTGTAGGCTTGTATTTTGGCCGTCGGTGGTACAGAGAAGAAACTGATTCCAAGTACCAACACTGAAGTAGGGTAAGTATTGTTTTCCCTCGCCACTGAAGGTGGAGGGAGGTTATGTTTTCACCCTTGTGTGTCTGTCAGCAAGATTTCTTAAAAATGGCTGAATGGATTTGGATGAAAGTTGGTATAACTTTGGACTATGACCAAACTTACAAGTGAATATTTTCTGGAGGGTCAAGATCACGAAAATCTAAAAAAATCCCTATCTGTGGATCAATTTTTCACACTATTTTTGCTCTATAACTACATTCAAAAATGGACCGTGTCCGTTTGTAACAATGAACGAGCACATTTTTGTACTTTTGGAGAGCTGAATATGATCAATGCTGTGTGGCGGAGGTATGTTTTCTAATGAGTGCATGTACAAATATTTACTTTTGATTTATTTTATGACTCGCATGGGCACATTCAAGCTTAAAACTGATCCTTTTGTTCGTTTGGTGTGAAATGTAGTCCGTGTTTATTTCTATCTATTATTGCATATGCAAGAACCACTCACCTGAATACAAGTTTAACTCTAACAATGATTCATTGGTGGAGACAACAACAAATTTAAATCACTGAACAAACCAGTAAAAAAGATTAAACGTACATACGTACAAGGGAAAAAACAGTTTTAGCTTTAAGAGATACCTTGTCTGTTTCCTCTGAACAAAATGAAAAATATTTGTATTTAATTTTGACTTGGACATCCTAGTACTCTGGTTGTGAACCCCACGGGAACAAATGAAAGACTTGTTGGTGGGTGGAGACAATAAAATTGGGTTCACAATCAGAGTACTAGGATGTCCAGCACAGGAACAAATGAAAGACTTGTTGGTGGGTGGAGACAATACAATTGGATTTACAACCAGAGTACTAGGATGTCCAGCACAGGAACAAATGAAAGACTTGTTGGTGGGTGGAGACAATACAAATTATTCCAAGTTCATCACTATACTTTAGCAGGGAACCCTGATATTCAAATTACATAAATGCCAGGACACTATTACTACAAACTTCATACAGCCAGTTTAACACGTAATTCAAGGATTTTATGTAGTAATCGCAAGTCAGTACTAGGGTGTCTATATAAGATTGTTTCCCAGTTCTAATCTCATTTAAGTAATTGTCTGAGAAACACCATTGTTTTTGAAATGTTACAAGCAAGCCACTTGCAGTGAAGGTTAGATTTATCTGGGTATATAGAGATGAGGATTAAACTTGCGTTAACTACAAAATATGAAATACTGTCTTAAATCTAACAACAAGCACAGTCATTGCTTACACTCTCACAGAAATCTCAATGGTTCTCAAACATTTTAAAGAAGCATTGTGTATGGCTTTTCTAGCATCCGCTTAAAGTGGGAGAGCCACTGGGCACCAACAGCTCCGTCCACTAGTCTGTGGTCACAACTCAAGGTTACATTCATCACCGAGGATACTTGATATCTAGAAAACAGGATCACAAAAAATACACCATGAATTATAAGTCTACCAACACACAAAACTGTAGAAATATAAGAGTAGATTAAAATTTTCCTTAGTATTATTATATAAGGGTGAAAAAAATTGCATATTTTCATAGCATTATTTAATGCTACTTCTAGAAATTTTAGTAAAAAACTTTCTTTATATTATTTAGTACAACACACTCATTTTTCTTGTTTTTTATAAACGTAGTTCTATTAAACAAATAGTGTAAAAATTCGAAAATGTTGAAAAACATTAATTGCAACACCTGTTGTTTACTAGATTAGTAAGTAAAATGAGTATTTTGACTTGGACTTAACTCCAAGATTGATTAATAAAGTTATTAGTGTAGGAACCATAAAAAGTGTTATAAACTTGAAATTGGGAGTATTGTATTAAAGTAGATTTCTTTATTAAAATAAAGTATCTGTATTTCTTGACAAGGAAGAAATAGTACATAAAAGTACAAACCTTGTGACAGAACAAGTCTAATGATGTGTGATAACTCGAGACATTTTAGTCGTAAAATTTTACGCTGTATTTTCACAATATGACTGTCAATTTGAATCAAACCACTCTCTACTACTGATGTGGACTTCCAGTATGTATGTATAATATGCTTTATTTTACAGTGGATTAGCTTAATGTTCATTGTGTAGACTTCTTGAGATGACATTTTAGGCTCAAATTGAAAAGTTCGACCATACTATACACCATTTATTGTCAGTTATGAGATTATGGCTACAGTGCTATTCTTCTTCATCAAAGGCTTTCTAAGCCATGAATTTCAATTAAGACCTTTCTCATGAGGCTATTACTACTTTGTTTGTGTTTACCGTAACAGACCCTTATAGAACTAGTTTCAAATAATTACCTTCCACAAAGGCTAAGGTTTACTCTGGCAAGTTAACAACATCTGGTGTGTTCACATAAACATTAAAAAAGGATTTATAAAAGTAAGTGTATCTAACTTACCAAACCCACATGGCAGACATTTAAAGAATCAGGTGCACTGTTCACTAACTAATAATTTTTTTTAAAGATAAGGCCAGTTAAAAACTAACTTTCTAGAGTTCCTTTATTTGAAGTCAAATTTGTTAGTAATACATTTAAAAAACCTGAAAACATTTTATGATATATATAATGATATGCTTGTACATACATATAAAACATGTTCTTTTTACTTTTTTTGTCATCAGGTTTGTTATAAACAGTAAAAATTTCCAATATTTCAAGGATTTCTTTCTTCGCGAAAGGAATTAACACTTACCAGAAATCTTTTTAGTTAGATACACACCTCTAGCTATTTTCAAGATTTTATTTGAACTGGATATACAAAATGAACTTGAAGAGTGAAAAACAGGTCGTAATAATCTTCTTGGGTCCCACTTTACCTGCCAACATTAATCATACCGGGATAAGCACAGCATTGGCTGCGAGAACAAGAATTTCCACTGTCTTCTTCCTCCAGTTTTGGATGTCCTTTGATACAGAACACCAGTGCTCTCCATGGTGTGGCTCAGCATTAACACAGCCCTTCCTAACCTCGTCTTGTTGCTCCTGAAAAAGATTAAATTGTTGAAGTTCATGAACAGTAATTTCTCCACTTCTTACCTGCTGCTATTAAACCTTTACTGTGTTCAAGAAAACAGTTTTCACAATCTGGGTTTTACTTTTCTTTAAGTAAGAAGTTCTTCCACAGTGCCACTTTAAATTCCCCTTCTCTACACATTTTGATTTTGTTTATTTTCCATGTACAAAAACACTCACCTCAGTACCATGTAACATTTCAAACTTGAAAAAATAGGCCCAGGCATCTCCAAGGTCAGGATCGATCTTTACTGTACGAGTAAACCACTCCCTTGCTTTTGTTGTCTTTCTTTCTGACCAAAACAGTCTACAGGGATAAAAGTAAGTGAAGTTTCATACAAAAGAGTGTAACACTAATACTTCTATTCAGATGAACGTTTATTTAAGTACACTCTAATAGATGGTTTAACATATTTAATGTGTTCCATTAAGGTAACAAACCCTGATTAAAGACTTGTTTGTCTGCTTGAATGGTATAAAATATACCTTACAGGTTAGCTGGAGAATAATGGTGGGAACCAGCATAATGGCCCAATCTGTGATTTATTACTTTATTGTTTTTTTTTTTTGGGGGGGGGGGGGGATTACTACTCCATAAAGTAAAATAAAAACAAAACAGAAAACATATTTAATATAGGTTTAAACTGTGAGCATAAAAGTGATCTGTAACTTCACGGTTATCCCCCCCGTGAGACAGTGGTAGGTTTACGGACTTAACAACACTAAACTCCAGGTTTCGATTCCTCATGTTGGACACACCAGATAGCCCAATGTGGCTTTGCTTTAAAACAAGGAAAAAAAGAAACTTCCCAATCAATACTAAAAAGGAAAATACTGTGTTACTCAACTTATTTCATGTTTTTAAAATTTTTTTCATCATACTTCTTTGTGTAAAGAACTCTACACTTAAAATGTACAATGTGTCCCCCACAAACAACAACAAAAAACTTGCTATTCATTTAGGAGGTTCTAGAAGCTATGCAACAGAAATATGAAAACTTCAAAATGAAAGTAATCATGAAATTCACCTTTCATGCAGATTGACTCTGTAAGTTCTTAGATAAATCTAAGATTGTGCTTAACATACAAAAAATGAATTATAGTAATCGTCAATTCTCTAGAATGAGCTCCAACCAACCATACGTACATAGCATTAAACTAGGTTCTGCCTACTAAATATTAACACTGTAATCTATTTATGTTAATTACTAATGATTCCATGATGTTAACATATAAAAACTCGTATAAGACGGGGTTTCCCAAAGTGGTCACTGAGACTGTACAGGGAGTGAATGAAGACCTAGGGTTGATAGGGGGTCAAAAATGGCCGATATTCATATGTTTGTTAAAACCCATCCATGTCATTGGAGAAAATTAAAACCTCATTCTTTTTTACATTTTATGTTTCCTAACGATTGTATTATGATGAATTAAAGTTGCTTATATATTAAAGTTTCATTTATAATTTATATTCTAAGAATCTGGGGGTCGACAACCCAAGAAAGGTTTGGGAAACCCTGGTACAAGACATCCTAATGGATAATAATATGCTTATTATTCATTGTATCTTTTAACTATATTTGTTAATACATACTTTGTAAAGCTACCAATTTACTGTCCCATTTTAAATAAAAGTAAATTGCCCATGAAACTTTATAGAAAACAACAATTACACTATAAAACTTGGAACATGAAACAAGAACTACACAACAAAATTTAGTACACCTTGTTTTGGATGACTCTTTATATGTTCTTGTCAGTTTTTAACAAGTCCATGTAGCCAATTCTGAGACCCCCTGAAACCCATATGAATTCCTTTTTTTGTGGGCCCCAATATGAAACATTTGAAAATCTAAATATACATAACTTATTTTGAATAGTCACTTATATTTTCATGTAAATCCAATGTCTTAATTAAATTTGCTTTGAATGGCTCCTTACAGAGTAGTAAGAATGCGAGCCTAATAAACAAAAACCCTCCATCATTTTTTGGCCCTATTCACTATTTGGAAAATTTTTTCTTTGTTTATATTCTGCGAGGCAAGAACCTACATTCAAAAAATAGTGGTACTATGTACACATATTATCAACCAAAAATCAGTACAGTACATACTTGGACACAGCTAGCAATACATGCGAATCATGTTCACAGCGTTTCAATGCATCCACACTCTTGGTCTTCCTCTGTGGTCTTGCCTCCATGAAGATGGCTTCTGCCCAAAGAATTCCACTTCCTGGACATTCCTGCATAGCTGTGGTCAAGATAACAAAAATTGGTTTTATTCGAGAGCACAAAGGTTTAGTTTCTAATTTCTATATAATTATATTTCAGGTAGTAAGCAAACGGCAAACATGTGGTTCCTGCAGCTGTCAAATAACCAAACTTTTAACGACCAAATTTAGATACCTATGTTCACAGAAAATTGACCAAAAAATAAGGATTGTTCATATAACTTTATAAGTTACTTATTCAACTTTTAATAATTTACAATGAATACCAACATGTGTTTTTCATCTATTAACATGGCACATGTTGTTACTCTTGTGTGTCTACTGAGATTGTGAACATTTCATTTTTATTTGTGGTTGATTTAAGACTTTTTAACCCTTTCCATATAGGTGAAAGGTCATGTCATCGCATTCAAAATTTCATTGAACTACTATTTCAGGAATGTATGTTAATAACTTTGGTATCAAAATGTAGATTATAATTCAAATTTTAGTATTATATATATTACTCAATTTCATAATTTAAAAGTAAATATTACAAAAAAAACCAGTTAAACTGAGTTTTGTGTGTCACGTGGTATGTTGAATGCAGCTTTGGTTCAAATTACAGGTTTATGATGTCAAAATACTAAGTTTATAGTTTTGTACGAATTAGGAACTCAAATTACTGATACTGACAAGCTAGAATATAAAATACGAACCTCTTATCTTTTCTGTTTGCTAAGATATGCCTCATGTAATGAATCAAACACAGTGGCACCCCAATCATCTCTTTCCATTTTTGAAAATGCTCCCTTATATACACTTACTTCTATATATAACATGAATAACCAATGGAAAGCTCAGAATGTCCCCCAGTGACTTTCTTAGCCATTTTAAAGTCTTATAACCAAGATTTCAAGGAGGAAGGTTGTGTCTTTAGTCTGCTCGAAACTTCATATTTTTTTAGATTGAAATACAGCTTAGTTACTAAGCTAGACAAATTATAGTGGAATTCTGTGGTACTGATGTAGTAATTTATGGTTTGTTGGTTATTCAACTGTATATATAAAACCAAAAAAAATTATTTCATATCCTCCACGTGTGAAATTTTAAA